AGATCGGTTTTCCTCTGAAATTAGCCGTTTAGGTTTTACAGCCTGTCAAAGTTGGAAAAAGTAAATTTTCAACTATCAATATTTCCAAAACAGTTGAACTTAGGTATAGGGTATATCACATAAAATCTGCTCAGAATTCTACGTAGAATCCAAATATGCAATCACATACAGGGTGTTTCATTTAAAATAGCGATGTTGCCACTGGTTTAGAGTAGAAGCGGCAACACCGCATAAACAAAAATATTTTTAAAGTGTAGATTATGGTCGTTTATCCCGGTTGCCAAATTTCCAAAATGATCCGCTTTTTAGTTCTCTATAAACGTCTAATACGCCATCCACCGTGGGACACCCTGTATACGCTACGATCTTCGAGGCAGTCGAGTTCGAGTAGTGCGAGGTCACGCGTCCGTAGCCAAGACTAGATAGTTTGAATCCAAAACTCTCCAAAAATATTTATTAGAAACTTAATTATCTACTCGTTTTCGAAGTGACCAGTGGGATTACATTGTTTATGAAACAGGAGCTCCTGTGAGGCGCCAACATCAGCGCATATCACCACCCTGTGCAACTCCAAGGTAGGTGCCTTGTCTAATATTGCCTTTGTATGGTTCCGCGATCAAATTTCGGCGCGTTTACAGTCCCGCGGCTCTCCAGAATAAATTTCCCAACGTTTAATCACAAACAATCTATGATACATTCAGGCCATCCTGACATAAACTCTTCTACTTTAAGAAGTAGTAAATCTTGATCCACTTCCCTAGCAATGTCGAGTACATTTATGACCATTTCCACTAACTATTTTAGGGGAGCCCTAACGATAAGTAGGTATTCCCTAAAATGGCATTTTTACATGGAGAAATGTCAGTTTAGGGAATACTTATCGCTAAGGCTCCCCTAAAATAGTTGGTGGAAACGGCCATAAGTGGTATTTCAACCAAACTGAAGGAATGCAAAAACTCAGGAGCTTCAGTTCTTTCATTACATGGGAGGCGTGATAAGCCATCAGCATTACTGATAGATTTACCTTTTTTGTATTGAATATCATATTGGTAACCAGGGCTGGAACTCTGTAACGTGTAACGGATAAGGATCGTTATCCCTATCGCTATGGCACTTGATGTCTTCTTCTTTCTTGTCGAAATCAATAGAGAGGAGACGTCAATAGTGATAGAGAAAATATCTTTATTCGTTACAGAGTTCCAGCCCAGATAACATAATAGCCCATCGAAGCTGGAATGCTCTTATTTTTCCCAAAAATGAATTGCAAGGGTTGATGGTCTGTTACCAAAATGAACTCTCTTCCATAAAGATATACTTGTGAAATTTCTTCAGGGCAAAAACCATAGCAAGGGCTTCACGTACCTACCAAATTACCATGTAGGGGATAAAGTGCTGGATGTAAAGATGACAGGTTTCTCTATATTGTTTATTATATGACTTAAAACACACCTAATACCATTGCTGCTCGCATCGCAAGTGACATAAATTGGAAATTTTGGATTGTAATGGATCAAAACACTTTCCGAAGTCAGCCAAACTTTACTCTCCTGAAAAACACTTTCACGTTCCTTTGACCGCAAGTAAAATTGGCAAATTGCAACATGGAGGAAAAATGCTCGCTCAAGTTGGCCCCCAACATTCAGTTTTGTATTGTTTCTCAATTGTAGTCAAAAAGCTCAAAATTCATGAATAAAAATCAATTCAAGAGCCTGTAATAGACAAAAATTGAAATAAAATAAGGCGGAAAATTATATTTCCAATTTTGAAGTCTGGAAACTAGTGTAAAAGGCCCTTTTTGACCTTAAATTACTCCAAAATACAACTTCCACAACCAAAATGGAACAATTTTATATTAAAAACAATTTTCACCAACTTCAATTTTAAACCTGGAGGTTGTTCTGGGAGGCTCAAAATCAATCTGCAAGCCTTACATATTCTAGAGGCAAAATCAAGCATCTTTTCCTCTGGAAGAACTAATCCAAAATAAAAACATTGGAAAGCAATTGTTTCCCAATTTGATTTTTGTCCCTGGATATTGGAATTGGAGAACTCACTTTCAACAAGTAGGTAAAGTCTTTTAAGATTCCAGTGTCCAAAATGAAAAAAACTAGACAACAAACAATAAAATGTTACCATATGGGGTCCAGGTTTTTTTGAAGTTCTTACCATGACTTTACATAATTCTGGTGTCGTTTCCAGCTTCTTTCCTCACAAATCTTGCAGATTCAGGATTGAACTCTTGGTTATTAGTGGCTGCCCTGTAACAAAAAGTGTATAAGTTTCTTGTTGAGGAAAACTTTTATTTAGAAGTAAAAGTGGCACAATTTTTATAGATATCAGTGAAATACACTATTATTTTACATTTTATTTTTTTTCTGGAAAACTACTGAAGGGAGAATTATGAAACTTTCAGGAGAAAAAAAGGAAAGTTATGCGTTTCTACATACTAAAATCTGAACTTTCCAGTGAGAAATAACAAAATGGGAAATTAATGGAAATCAAATTGCAAAATCCAAATTAGGCAACGATGCATTCTCATACTTTTCAATTTTTCTCTGGAAAACTACTGAAGGGAGAATTATGAAACTTCCAGGAAAAAAAGAGGAAAGCTAGAAGCTCATCATACTAAAATTTCAAACTTCTCCTGTGAGAAATAACAAAATGGATAATTCATGAATATGTAAGTACCTACCTGTCAAGTTAATACTTGATTATAGGCACACACGACTGTTGGACTCTAGTTTGCATACAGGGGGGCTCACCTGAAAAAAAATAACACAGCAGCAGGAAATTGTTCTTGGATTTGTAGTTTGAAAACTCAAACGTGATTCATCAGTTGAAATATGCTAATAACATGGAAAGCGCATTAGATACAAATCATTAAATATTTCAATACATTAATAAAAACCAATACGTTTAATTTATGGTAGACCCACCCTGTACTCAACTACAACCGCCAAATGACAGGTAAAAAAGGTAAACTAAGTGCATATTTTCAACTTGTTTATACTGACACATAATCTAACATTTGAAAGTCAGCTCTAATTACAGATAAACATAAAGTTTCAGCTTTTACAAACAAATCTTGAGAAAAAGTGTCCAGATATTTCGAGATATTACCTTGGCTCCTGGACTATTAGGCCTACTAATTAACTATCGACCCGATTCTCATAAATCCTTCAATGACTGGCTTTTCAAGAGTGCCTACCCAACACCTCATCCATGAAAAAAATTGAAAACTGAATTTAGGTCTTTTTGGAAATAGCTACAACTATGATAGCTATCTCTCTAGCGATCAGCTAAAGAGTATTTTTGTGTAGTGCACCTGTAGATGTTTGTATCCTTTTGAAAATAGCTGAAAATGTTCAGGGGACTACCATTAGCAATTACCCAAATTGTTAATTGGGTTAATTGTGTTAGGTTAGTTGGGTTGTTGCTAGTGGTAGTGGCTCGAAATTTGCAATAATTGCTTATTTTGAGACACTTTTAAGACATTGGAGCATTATACAAAAACATTTTTGGATGATTTCCAGTGACAGTAGCTGGTTCTGTGTCTGTGTGTTTTGGCATTTGTAGCTATGGATTTAAAGTGGCTTAAACAGCCATTCAATTGAAAACAATACCTACATCCAGCATACATCAGCATTCCCAACAGTACCTACATATCCAGAACCCAGCATTCTATCTCACAACAGCCTACATCCAGAATTTTCCTGGATCATTCATCCCTCACACAACTCATATACTTTCTCCATTAACGCGCTTTTGGTAAGCCAAGTCAAAAAAAAATTAATGATGAAAATAGGCGCGAAAGATTTTCTGGAAAATTTCAATAGTTCTAATTTTTAGACACTCTGTAAAATGTACCATAGTTATAGAGAATCAAATAAATCACTATTTAAATTTAAAAAAAAAACAAAAATAAGAAAGCTCTGAATTGTTCCAGTCTCAGACATTAGAAAAATCAAGAGTTGTTCATCCAAACTCAATAAATCCCAATCCCAATTACCAAAAAATAATTGTTGGTACTACTTACCACAATCCACAAGTCAATTGGTACACTATGGACACACGACGCGATAATCGGAAAATGGCGGTCGGAAATTTTTAACTTGTGTGAGAAAAATCGATAATTTCCGGACGCGACTGACGGTACTTCATCTATCGGCGATTCGTACTCGACTAAATCTAAATCCCTTTGTATTGTCCGACAAAGAAATCCAAATCTCAACCCCAAAAAAAAAGGTAAACAGATAAGGTAATAAATATGAGCAAAGTGTGATATGCAAAAAAAAATTAACTGCGTAGTAGAGTAGTACCCGAAGGCAAGTGTAAATCCCCTGTTTCTAACTATACAGGGCCGAATAAGTATTTTTTTTTTAAGTTTATTTTAGCTTTGTTCCTACAAAGCAGAAAACTGTACAAAGTACTCACAATTTGCAATTTCCGTAAATGTAAACGCTCGTGCATGTTACTCCGGGAAGTTCTATCGCATTTTACTATCCCGTGTAAGCCACGCTTAAAATACGCATAAAAAACACATATTCAAAATAAACTTGCTTGGCCGCCACGCCATATTGAATTTTGTGTCTGACAGATGGATTTGATTTCTTGGGATTGCCCTCAATGGGATTTTCTAATGATACTTCTCATTGATATTACTTTTCAATGTGTGAAGCCTTCTTTATATCTAAAATGTTGAAACCCAATTTTCTTGACAATTCAACCAATAGGTACTTAACTAATCATTACTTAAAAACGAGTTTTCAGTATATAGGTATGTATACCATGATATACTTAATTTAATAATTCGACGAAATTACCCAGGTTAGCAGCTGAATAACAATTTTGTAACGGCTGCTTCTTTAGTCACACGCACCTTTTATGATTATGTACCGTACAGGTTTTTAATTGTACCAAGAATTAAATACATAATACATTATCTTACTTATTTATCGTAGTTTGTTTATTATTAGTAATTTGGGCTCATTGCATTGCAGATACCAAACGAGTCCATTCTACTCGACCACCAGTCATTCGTCGCAAAAAACCGCCCTGCAACCTCCCAGTCCTCAAAACACCGACCCGAACACCTCGAACGAATCCGCCGCCTCGATAAACCAGGCCAGCCTCAAATTCTCCATCGACAACATCCTCAAGGCGGATTTCGGTCGGAGCAGGATCCTCGATCCGATAGCGATCAGAAAAAGTAAACCGCCTCCGTGCCGACGTACCTCCTCCGCCTCAGAAAAACTAAGCGGTTTGCACGTGAGCGATCAGAATAAGCTCGGAGCCAGCTTTCCCGGCGAATATCGGTTGCAGGAGAAACCGCAGAAGGAGGCGAAAGCGGATAAAGGGCCGGTTGATTTGAGTCCTAAAGGAGGCGATACTGGGAGCGAGAGTAAGAGCGAGGACGGTAAAGACGGACCGCCGATTTTATGGCCAGCTTGGGTGTATTGTACTAGATATTCGGATCGACCTAGTTCAGGTAAGAATTTTCTCATACTTAAGGCCGGTATTTCAATGTCACCTTAAGGCACAGAATAAAGTAAAGTCCCCCTTAACAAGTTTAACTATATTTATATCAAAGTTCCCTTAATTCAAAGTGAATCTAAAGACAGCTAGACTGATAGGTTTATTTTGACGTTAAGGGTACCTACCAGCTTTAAGGGTTTATTTTTCAATGTCACCTTGAGGTACAGAATAACGTTGAGTCATCTATAAGTACCGGCTCCGTCAACGTCACAGATTTCTCGCGGAGAATATTTGACGTATCATTGACGGTACGTTGACGTGGCCGTGCCAGTACGTATAGTATGAACCCTACTTAAGACTTACTTAAGGAACTGATTTCAAGTTAAACTTAACGCTGTGAAAGGTACCTATCTTAGCTAAGTCTTGATTTTAAGGTAACATTGAAATACTGGCCCTTACTTAGATGGAACTATTGCTTTGCTTCTTAAAGCAATGATACCATAATAACTTGATTAATATAAATCAGTTACTTAAGACTAAGCTTAAGACCCATTAAGTATACGCTTTCAACTACGCAATAGTTTCGCGATTTTTACAAAATCAGAAAAGTTATTAATATCGGTAATTCGTGCGCTAACCGGTCATTTGTTTAAAATAAAACACACGGAGAGAGAAAATTTATTGTCGGAGATTTGCATAAACCTACACGCAGAGCGATATTATCAAACATCTCAATTTGTAAACATTATAATTATTATTCCGATTATAAATTTATTATTAATAATTTATTTGATGGAAAAATGCAGTAATAATAATATAGTCCCGGCTATACTCGAGTCGATTGACAATTCATCTGCATAATAATTTTTCTACTAAAATAGAAAAAAATCTTTGCGCTAATTAAATTAACATCAAACGGCAGTTAATTTTGATTTAATAACAGAACTCTGGCACAAATCATGGGCTCCACATTTTCAACGTTATAAAAGATTATCGCGGAATAAAGTCTCGCACGTGAATAATTAAATAATTATATATGACTCCGGAGCCGGACCTCGTAATTAAACTTTTTCTATTGCTATATTTATTTTAAATCTTATTTAATTGCCATAAGCATTGGCGATTTGATTGCCTTTTTCGATTCAAAGCGTATGATTTTCGACAGTTGACACTGTCGACAAATGAACGATGCTGTACTGCCAAAAAAAAGTCATCTGTCGAATGTCAAAATGATGTAGTTACTGTTGGATATGGCATTATTTACTACATATATGGTGGAAAATAGAACTACAGAGCAACTTATGGTAAATAGTGAAGTTTTCATTTTCCAAGAGTATGTTGCATGTATCATTGAAGTAGGTAAATTGTATTTTCTTACAGTGGAATTACTTTGCATTGTCAAAAAATATACAGATATTCTTCCGATCTAGGCAAACTTATTCGACTGGACAAATTATTTCGAACAATAATTGTCCAAACCTTCTTTGAGGATTTAATTAATTGTCCGCGACTGTTTTCAATAACCAATTTTTTTTGTGATTTTTCTTCTTATTTGTTCTAAAGTCTTATGACTTTGCTGCAAAAAATTGAAGCTTCAAGTTCAAGACTAAGGGCCGGTATTTCAATGTCACCTTAAGGTACAGAATAACGTTATGTCATCCTTAATACAAGTTTCACCATATATCAAAGTTCCCTTAATTCAAGGTGGATCTTAAGCCACCTGGTCTAGGACTCTGTAACGAATAAAGATATTTTTCTCTATCTCTATTGACGTTCCCTCTCTATTGGTTTCGAAGAAAGAGAAGAAGACAGCAAGTGCCATAGCGATAGGGATAGGGATTTCTATCCATCACAGAGTCCCAGCCCTCAATGAACTGATTTCAAGTTCACCTTAACGTTAAGGGTTCCTTGGGAAAGTCTTGATTTTAAGGTAACATTGAAATACCGGCCCTAAAAATAACTACTGGCAAGGCGGAACATGCGCTGCAATCGATTGGCATGTCAACGCGCCCATCGAACTTACATCATACGAGTTAGAGGCAGATAGATATATGAACGAGTTGCAATGAGTGCGCATTTGCTCATTATTTTGGTCAAGTGAATAACGGGTTCAAAGGGTAGGGCGGATCTTGTTTATACCTCTGATGCATCCTCAACATGACCCCCTTTGAGCAGTTCACCTCTCCTGGCCAATGGGGGGTCTTGTCATCACAATGCAAACATAAGTTTATGGATGAGATGCAGTGTCTATATGTGTTAAGATGACATTGGTTCTGAATTTCATTTATAGGCTTTCTATTTTGCGAAACTCGATTTTGGATGGGAAACTTTTGACTCCTATCTGATTCTAACTTTTTTCGGAGATTCGTATGTGCAAAATTATCATTTTCATGGCCGCTTGAATGAGATAACTTGTCCACATTGTTAATGTCCAAGTCTGACAATCATATCTAACATTTTGAGTGATATACTTTGAATGAAATCTCTGGTTCTCTAGGATGTTTACAAGCTTGTCAAAACGTGCACATGCCAGCTTTATTTTCTGCTTTTTGGTTGATCATATCAATTTTCAGTATGTGTCCTAAAAAAAGATGGCTTGCTTGTGTTTAGAAACTCTAAGAAATTGAAGAAATTGTACGACAGGGAATTTTTTATCGTGGCGCCATCTATGTCTGGAAATCACTGTGTACTATAGTGAAATTATGTAAATAATGTATACACGTCATCAATGGTACATCAAAATTATTGCCAATTGCAGTTTATGAGAAATTAAAATTCATTTTAAACTCAGAGCACATTTTTTTTTGTTTAACCCTATTCCTGGTCGGATCAAATAGCCGAATCTACCGATGAAATGGGATTTACTCAATAAGGTTGTTTGAGAGAGGTAGGTTGCCTGATAACTTTATGACGTCATCTGGGGGGCCTCAACATAATGCAAATCTCCATAAGGCACCCCAGATGCGTCATGCGTATAAAGCATATGAACTTTAGGAACCTTGCGATTCACTTAGGTTGGCACTCGTGGGCAATGTTGCCAAATGTTGCCTTCTGCAAATCTTCGGTTATTGATTTTATTAATTTGAGGCTTGATGTCAGTTTTCAATGAGTCGGAGATTGATTGGTAGGATATAATTGAATAGTAAACTATAAAATTGTATTATTGAAATTTCGTTTTTTTGGTATTAGTGATTTTTAGGGCCAGTTTCTCAATAGCAGGTTACCTCCGGGTTAAGCTAACTCCAGAATAAACATTACATTACAATTTGACACGTTAACCCTGGAGTTAAAACCAACCCGGGGGTGACTCGCTATTGAGAAACCGGCCCTTATCAATTTATTAATAAAAATGTAGCCTGGGAAAATGAAAAACTTTACTATAGTCCGACAAATACCATTTTAAAGTCACGTGATATTGGTGGCAAAAAACATATGTTCGTTGATTATGTCGTTGATATCACCTACAAAAAGCTACTTGTGGTTAATTACTATTGAATTTTAAGATATGTTCCCACTAGCATTTTACAAACGCGTTTCTGAGCTAGTATTGACCAATCAGATGAGAATTTTAATACTTGCAATTGTTGCGAGACTCACTTTTGTCGCTTCTGCTGCCCCTTGTTCCATTCTGAACTTGAATTGGGTACCCGTTTTCTATTTGCATCTTTTTGAGTTAGAAAAAGGTTAATATTGTCAAAATTATTAGCTGTGTTTGTTCGTTGTATCATTTTCTAAAATAACTTTGACAAACTAATTGATGACAGTGACGGATTCTATTTCAGGTAAGAATTTTATGAACAATAATTAGACAGCAATTTTTTTGTCAATTTTACTATCACCGCTGTTTGAGATGTATTCAACAAGGATAGAGAAAAATCACGTGACTTTAAAATGGTATGTGTTGGACTATAGACAGCTGCTTCCGGAAATGTAAATCCTGGATCGGGTAAAATCTGTTTTTTTTTTTAAGATAAAAGTCAAAATGACATTATGTTGGCAATACAATGTAAAATTGTCAATGCTTTCAAATTTTTTATGTAGAAAAGGCTTGTGTTGCCAACAAAGTTACTAAATTTTTGACTTGGGGGATTATCTTTAAAAAAAAACATACTTTAGTTTAATATCAGCTGATCACGGTTTAGCTCGTTTTCAGAGTAGATTGTATGTCAAAGTAAAACGAAGTTGATGCGGCAACATTGCGACATGCTAACGTCATAAATGATGACGTGCATTCATTATTTTATTAATTTTCCTACATACAACATTTTGCTGTTTTAGTACTGATCGTCAAAAGGCCGACGAAAAATCAGTTCGTTGAAGTAACCCAACGAACTTGGGTTGGTTATCTTTGCTTTCCTAGCTACACTGATGAGATCTGATAGATCGAAACCCGTCTGTAAATGGAGAGGCGAGAAAATACAACCTCCATTTTCATGCTTTCCATTTTGGGATTTTGGGTTACCCCAACGACCTGATTTTTGGTCGGCCTTTTGACAATAAGTGCTAAAACAGGAAAATGTTGTATAGTACTGATTTCCAGTCATAGATGGTAGATGGCGCCACGACCAAAAATCCCCTTCTTACTCGTACTGTTTCTAGTTTTCCTACAGGCAAATATTTATATGTTGAACAAATTTTATCCCATTCACAATTACTCAGCGTAGTAGAGCGCGCTTTCGGCTTTCGCCATCATCAGTACTACTTGTCAGGTTCAGACACAGAAGTTAAAATTTTAAAAGTTCAACAACGACGAGGATAAAAACATTACGACACGACGAGAATTACAGATCTGTACACGATAAACAGTCACAATCAATATAAAATTTTTGAAAATCCAAAAATTTCCTCGAGGATATAAAAAGTCATTGTAGACATCGCCAGGATTTCCAATAGAAAATCAATATTTCATATTGCAATGTAAATAAGAAATATGTACCCACTGTTGAATTTAGGCGTTCATTCATATTTCCTCGAGAAAATTTTTAGATTTTCAAAAAGTTGTATATTTTTTGT